TTTGCTTCCCTTTTATCTCCAAAAGTAGCAGAGATAGGTCCATAGTTACTATTGAAGTTGAATAGGAAGTCATATACTGGCAATCTAAGTGTGACCTTAAAATTGACCTTTGACCTACTTTTCACCATGAACTGAACTCTGCTCATTTCTTTCTCTTTTAACTCCAAACCTGGCAGAGATAGGTCCATAGTTACTATTGAAGTTGAATAGGAAGTCATATATTGGCAATCTAAATGTGACCTTGAAATTGACCTTTGACCTACCTTACGATGAACTTAACTTTGATTGTACCATTTTAAGTTATATATATTTTTTGCGTATTTTGAAAATTCTTGTTGATTGCATTTTTATAGCTTGTCAAGCATAAAACTGGTGGCTGTGTCCCTTATTTTGTGTATGTGGGGGTCTATACAAATGCGCTTGCTCCAGCTGGTGGTACAATATTCGGAGGCGGTATCGCCTCTCTGATCCTCTAGTTCTGAATATGATTTTCAGATTTGAGCATTAGTTAATATGCAGTATTACAGTTATGTTATGGATTTTTTTTCAACATTACACATATGTGTTCATCTTCATACATTTTTTCAGTGGATGATACCCACAGTGAGAAATTCCATGCAGCCTTTCCACCACTCTAAGTGGTCCAGAATACTGGAGAGACTGCTGAAATTAGCAGTAAGTGTTAGGATGCAATATAGTTATTGTTTTATTTTCTAATTGTACATATGAAAGGTATTTCCTATATAAACAATTAAAGAAAAAAAAAAGATGAAACTTTAATTATGTCTTTTTTTATGACTTTTTAAAAAAAATCTTAAGGTATTGCCCTTTATGTGCCACACTGTTTATTCATTACATGAGTTCATTCATTACAAGCAAGGAACTGTTTGGCTAACACAGTGTAACTGCATGGAAATGCCTTCTTTACTACTTGGAAGTGATGGTTTTTTGTAGACTTCTTATTTTCATTTGCTGTGCTCCTAAAAGTTCTGTTTTGCTTTAAATCATTTCCTCAATACTTAACAACAAATTTTTTCACTTATCTTAAAGACTTCCTTTAAGGCTGCAGGCTTGTATGAAAAGTTCTTGGTCCAGATTAATTTGTATTTGTCATATGTTACTTAATAATTGAAATGATTGGAAACCTGCTTCCAAGTCATTTCTTATATTTAGAAATTATTGTCGTTATTCAGACAAACCTTGAAGTCATACCAATATTAGGTTTTGTTTGACCAGCAGAGATACTGCTGATCAATTACCCGAACACTGCTTTTAAAAGGGAAAAATCTATTTTATTTTTACATGTCAAAAATGCATTTTGCATTGGTCAAAATTTTGAAATGATACTGTTAAATTTAGCTTGGCATTGGGATTAAGGAAGAGTTTAATACCTTAAGACTGTGGTAAAAAAAAAATCAGAAAAATGTACTGTAGTCTCATTGTGGGAGAATTTTCCCAAAACCATAGTCTGAAATTCATTAAGTCTTAGGTGGTCATATTTTGGGGAAATTTTTCTGAAAATAAGACAGTCATGGCCACTGACATTTTGGGGGAAATCCTGAAGACTGGGATCTAAAATTCAGAAAATCTTGAGTAGTCATATTTTGGGGGGATTCCCCAGAACTCTTTATCTCAGTATTAAATAGAAATCAACTCACTCTCTTGGGAAAGTTCTCTAAAGCTACAGTCTTAAATTTGAAAAGTATTAAGTAGTTACATGTTGGAGAAAATTCATCAAATCTACGGCCTGGAATAACATAAGACAATCATGCTTGGGCAATTTCCCCAAACCTTCTGTCAAAAATTCTGAAAATGTTTAATGACTGTAGTTACTTCTAAAGACCCCCCCCCCCTTTTTTTGTGCTGGGAAAAGGTCCACTCTAAATAAAATAAGGCTTCTTGACAAAAGGTCTACATTTTCAGAAAAAGAACCCCCCTTTTTGCAACTGCTGGCTACAGGCCTGCACGTGGTTAACAACTATGACACAGTAAGTAAAATATTAGAAGCTATCTCATATTGAGAATACATAAAACATTTGAACTTAATTTTGAGAAATGAAAGAAAAAAAAACTCTGTATTGTTCAAGATAGAGCAAAATTACAAATCCTATTAACAAGACTTAGAATCATCAGTCACAGATTGCCTGGACAAAGAAAACCAACACCAGTTAAAAACAAAAATTTTGTCGGGGGTAAATTTATTTCAGTTATAATACATATTCATGCTATAAAACTATTCTTATACCATAATTTGGAAATTTATTTAAAATGTAATTGGTCTGAAATTTCTATAATATCTGTATTGTGTTTGGGGAATTTTCCCTAAATTGTTATCTGGTAATGATTTTTTCATTTTGAGGAAATATCCCAAAATGTGACTGCTGAAAGTTTTCAGATTTAAGACATTCTGTTTGGGGAATTTTCCTCAAATGTCAACACACCACTGATTTTAAGGCATAAATTTTGAGAAAATTTCCCCAAAATGTATGTTGTAGGGAATTCTGATTTTGAAACCGAAATATTGGTGAATTTTCTCCAATATATCAGTTGGTCACGATTTTTATTAGCATCATTGTCTTATGGAAGTGTAGGAGAGCATATCCAACACACACACACACACACACACACACACACACACACACTAGTATATATATATTGGTAAAACAGTGTTCATATTTTTCAGATTCCAAACCACCTGATCTGGCTGATGTTCTTCTACTGGTTTTTCCACTCCTGTCTTAATGTGGTGGCAGAACTACTGAGATTTGGTGACAGGGAATTTTATAGGGATTGGTGGTAAGATCACATTCAGCTGACAGTGACAATAATTTTTTCAATAAGGCCACACTTTTTTATTTTTATGGATGACATCCTCTGGGTACCCCAAAATCGGTGCGAGANGTCAGTACACAGCTGGAAACAAATTTTACCACAGAAACACGTATCAAACTAACAATATATCTTTATCCATACTCTCAAAATATTAAAGCATTGTGAATACTTCGTAGAAATGTAAAAAAAAAAAAAAAAGTCATGATTAGATATAGCCTACTTCATATTACCAAATCTATTTAAGGTTATTTCATGCATTTAGTTGGTATAGCTATCAATAAAACAAATATCAATCAAACAGCTTGTCTTTATTTGTATTCTCATAATATTAAAGCATTTTGAACACTTCACAGAAATATTTAAAAAATGATGCAAAGATATGCTTAATACTACCAAATCTATTAAAGGTCATTTCGGACGATGCCATTTTGTCTACTTCGACTCACACGAAGCAGCCAAACTGTCAGGTGGCCTGTCCGACCTTCAGCCCACCAAATACCTCAACGCCCTTGTCGACCCTTTTTTCAATACAGAAAACCTGGTATTAATGTGCTGCTTTGTACAGAATGTCACAGAAATTTTTCCGGCGATAATCGCTGGCCGCCGCCAGCCTTTCGCACAACTGTAAAAATGTGATATCTCCATGCCCAATATCAATGGCATACCAATCCAAAATGACGGCCCGTTCTCTTTGTCTTTTATTGTTGTGTAATTTGAAAGTAATCCTAGAGATGAATTTGACGGCAAAGCGGCCACATTTCCACGTGGCGATAATAGGCATGAAAGCTCATTTACCGACTTCGTTGGGGGCTTGGGGGGGATTTTTTTTTTTTTTTCTTTTGAGAACGGGCGAAAATCGGTGCGCGCGCAGGATGTCATCCATAAAAATAAAAAAGTGTGGCCTAATACACTAATATTTAGCTACAAGGCTCCCCTGTACTTATTGAATGTTGACGGATTTTTTTCAGGTTGCAATCATGATAGGTGTATCTGTAATATAATTTTTTTTTGTAAGTTCTTTGGCACTCCCTCTACCCAGTTTATTAACTTCATTGATTTTACTCTGGTCAGATTTGGTCTATACATTTTTATGCTTACTTTTTACAGGAATTCAGAAAGTGTGAATGAATTTTGGAAGAACTGGAATGTCCCAGTGCATCGGTGGGCCACAAGGTGGTGACTTAACTCCATTATTTTTTTCAAATCAATTCACAATTTAATGAAAACTACAACAACTTGACTGACAAAATGAAAAAAAAAAAAACATTTTCAATAATATAAATACTTAAACATTATTTTATTATATTAATAAACTTTTTATGTACAGACACAGATGTGTCTGTACATATAGCCGTCATCTGCGTCTGTCGTCACCGTCGCTGTCGCCGTGCACTTTTACCGATAACACGATAAGTGGAAAACTGTTTTTTCTTTTGGCTTGAAACTTACAGAACTGAAGAATATTCGTAATACGCAGGTCAAGTTCGAAAAATCAGCATGATCGGGTCACTAATAGGGAATTTATGCTGTTTTTTCACTTTTTTCAGCATATATGCAGCACCGATAACACGATA